ACCATCATCAACCACCATAAGGGGTGGCAAACGATCGGGTCGGGTCGGATATGAGCGGGCCGGAAACGGGTAATGTAAAAATGAATAAATTATTCGACCAATCCATATTTAATACGGATAGAAAAGGGGTTAACCGGCGGATAATATGGATTTCCATATTATCAATGGCTTTTTGAATATGATCACTTTTGGGAGAATTCTAGTCTCCCAAACTTGAGGAACCCTCAATTTGAGTCTTTGCAAATATAAAAGTTAACCATTGGTTATTCATTCTTTAAGCGGATAATATGGTTCTTATCTATATTTGACCCATTTTTTAAAAGTTCAGTATCCCACCCATTTTAAGTGGATAATATCTGCAGATAACTATTTTTTTTTAATCTATTTTGCCACCACTAACCACCACCCTAGGCGGCACTAACTACCATAAAAAGATATTTTGTCAATATAATATTATATTTTATTATTTAATCTGAAAATTTCTATCCATTAATTTCTAAAATAAAGATAAGTTTTATACCTTCAAATATTCAAAAAATAAACAATCTTATTATTTACTATTCAGATGTAACGACCCGACTGGTTGTTTTGCTTTCTAGAACCCCGTTTTCCTAAATAAGACTTTCAGTACTTGCTTTTACTGAATTATGACTTGCCGGGATAGTTGGTTTCGGATTTGGGAGAGTTTGGATCGAAATCGGAGCACTTGGTTCCCTAAAGTTGGCTTAAAAGGCCAAGTTTGACTTCGGTCAACATTTTGAGTAAACGACCTCGGAATCGGGATTTGACGGTTCTAATAGGTCCGTATGATGATTTTAGACTTGGGCGTATGTCCGGATCGGGTTTGGGATGACCGGGAGCGTTTTGGCGCCTAATAGTGAAAGTTGATTCCTTAAGGATTTTGAAGTCCTTTAAATTTGGTTTGGAGCGGGTTTTTGTGATATCGAGGTCCAACGGGATTTCGAGACCGGTAATAGTTCCATAATGTCATTTAAGACTTGCACGCAAAATTTGGTATCATTCCGAGTAGTATAAGTACGTTTCGGCACATTAGAAGTAGATTGAAGAACTTGAAGTTCATAAGTTTGATTCAATTAGTTTTAGGGTGTGATTCTTACTTTTAATGTTGTTCGGGCGTTCCGAGAGTTCGAGCGAGTCCGTTTTATGATTCCAAACTTGTCGGTATGTTCAGACAGGGCCTTGGGGGCCCCGAGCGTCAATCGGACGAGGCTCGAGCTAAGTTGGAAAATTGGAGGAGGAGCTGAAGCTCCAGCTTTTGTCATAACCGCACCTGCGGTTGGTCAGCCGCAGATGCGAGCTCGCAGGTGCGGGCCTTGACTCGCAGATGCGGCCAAGGGTGGCCAGCCCTGAAACCGCAGAAGCGGTTGGCCATCCGCAAATGCGGTAGGCGTAGGTGCGGCCCAGGACCGGAAATCACTGAAGGCAGTGGCCTTCATTTATTATGGGAGTTAGACAATTTTGGCTCATTTTCACTCCATTGTTGGGCGATTTTAGAGCTCTTGAGAGGGGTTTTTCACTAAGCTTTTGGAGGTAAGTAATTTCTTACAATACGTGAGTTAAATACTTGGATTTTGGGTAGATTAACATGTAAAGATTAGTGAAAATTATGGGATTAGAGTAAAATCTAGGGTTTTGATAAAAACAAGATTTAACCACGAAATTTGTTATGGAATGAAGTAAAAATCATATATTCTTGATTCTTAGGTTATGGGTAACAACTTCTTTCAAAAATTTCCGCAATCCGGGCACATGGCCCGGGAGTGAATTTTAGGAACCTTGCCTTTGGGGTTGGATAATCACTTTAATAATTAGAATATGAATTTGTAAACCTATAATAATTGGTTTTTACACTATTTGAATAGTTTCGGATTGTGCGGCTCCGATTTGAGAGTTTGAGCGCATTCTTGAGTTGGAAGTAGGCTCGAAATGAGGTAAGTCTCTTTTCTAACCTTGTAAGAGGGAAATTTTCCTATAGGTGAACTTAATTATTATATGATTAATTGTGGGGGTTACGTACGCACGAAGTGACGAGAGTTCGTACGTAGCTACTATTCCTATTATGTCCAGGTAGTTATAGGCTTACACCATGCTTTGCGGGTACCGTTATATGATTATAATTGTTGATTTGAATTGAATGGAACTAAGTTGAAGATGTCATTACTTCAAGGATTTCAAGTAAATATTTATTTTGAAAAGAATTGAGGAAACATCAAGTTATATCTATATTTAACCGCGTCGCAAGTATATTCCACGAGCAGGGTGATTATTTCCACTACTCTCATGGGAGCGGACCGTTCGCCTCGGTAGGTTAATAACTGTAGATATGGTTCGGGTCGTTCGACCCTCGGCAGTGCACAGTTTACTTTTATGTTGATCGGGCCGAACGTCCTCGGTGGTATTTGTGTGTGAAAATAGAACCGGAACCCCTTATAATTCGTATGATTCATTGCTTGAAAGGTCACTTGTTTTAAATGAAGAAAATGCCTAGTTTTATTAATTGGATGAAAGGATTTTCAGTATTATTCTTGTTTGAGCTTGTCGCTATCTACATACATTGTAAATTAAAATAATCGAATTTCATATTATTTTATTTGCTGGCCCTAGTAAGTGTCGGAGTCGACCCCTCGTTACTACTTCTGCGAGGTTAGGCGAGATACTTACTGGGTACATATATTTATGTAATCATGCTACACTTCTGTACTTGACTGTATAGGCTTTGAGGCAGGTGCATCTGGCCATCGGTCCGGCGCGTAGATTTGGACTCCCCAGCTTGAGACTTCCCAGTGAGCTGCCCTTTTGAGCCGTTCCGCAACAGCTGGAGTTTCTCTTTTGTCTTTATGTTCCTGTCTATTTCTTTTCCAGACAGTACGATAATATGGTTTTGTATATTCTACTAGACTGCCCATACACTTGTGACACCAAGTCTTGGTACACATATTGGTAGACTTATGATTTTTGTCTTATTTTATGATTTTAATTCGTATTCACTACTTCCATTTAATTATGCTTAGATTTTGAACTCTAAATTTCCTAATCAATAACGGAAAGTTATCACGTACTAATTATTCACATAAGAATTTACTAGTTGACTAGTGTTGGCTTGCCTAACAAAGGTGTTGGGCGTCATCACAGCCTAATATGGAAATTTGGGTCATGACATCACATCTTAATACACATCTTATTCTTCAGATGTATATCCAGATTCAAGCATTTTTTAATACACGTTTTAATATTTAGATATTTTAATCTTAATAAAAATAAATGAGGTCTGAGTCCAATATAAATATTATTTTAGTTACATAGATCTGTAAATATTAAAAAATATTTGTAGGATCATTTTATTTTATTGTGGGTTTGATTAAGATATCATTACCTCCACTTTAATTGATTCACTTCATTAGTGGTGGTAAAATGGTTAAAAGAAAATAGTTATGCAATCATAGTATCCATTAAAAAAATCGGTTGGTAGTGAATTTTTTAAAAATCGGTCAAATATGAATAAGAACCATATTATTCGCTTATGTGATCATATTCAAGAAGCCATATTATCCATATTATTTGTCGGTTAACTTATTTCTTATCCGTATTAAATATGGATCGGGTCGAATAATTTATGGTTAGCTCCTATCCAACCCGACCCGCCGTTTGACACCCCTCCCTTGTTGGATGCTGACCCAGATTCATATAGGGTAGGTTGATCGACTTCAACTCATATTTTAGTGTTAAAATGGCACCAATTTGAAGTTCTCGATTGGGGAATTCTGCAATTGTTAGGAAAACATATTGCCTTCGAATCCTACTTCTACTATAAAACGTAGTAATAAATATCACAGTATAAAACCTAACAGGAATTGAGGTACCAAGCTAAAGCAGTAGCAATTAATGGCGCTCAATATTACAAGAAGGTTAATAATTCTCATCCTCATTCATACACTCAGAGTTTCTGCAATACTATTTATCACTTTCAACCTAAAAGACAGCGGCAAAGATGACGAGGATGATAAGCTGCCACTTACAGAGTTTTGCGTGAAGCACTATTTTGGTCCGAAGCGGCCCAGTGCTTATAATGCAATTCTCTGCAAAGACTTGTTTCGTCGTCTCACCAGGCTTCTTTGTATTACCGGAGAATTTGATCCTTCATACTTGAGAGCTCTCAGAAAATTTGTTCCAGATTTCAAGGACAACGAAGATGCCCTCAACAAATTCCTTAGCAACATAACTAGATGTCCGCCCATTTATCCGTGATGGAAGAAGTTCAATACTTGCAAAGGTCTTGGCAAACTTTAGGATTTTATGCAGTTCAATTTGATTTTTGTTTGTAAGAGCTCGAAACTATATATGGCTAGAAATTCTTTCATGTTTCTAGAATTTGATTATTTTCATACTACACTACAGTTTTTAGGTTTATTTATACGACAAAAATAAATTATATTCTGTTTTGTCCATAAGCAGATTTAACTTGAATCTTCTTCCCTAAAATTCTGCCAAAGACAGAAATTTTAGATTTGTGGTGATGATGTCTACCTGTAAAGCCAATGTTTTTCAGAAATTTATTTTTATTATTATGGTGAAGGCTTGGAGTATTTAATTTCCCAATTGAGATCATAAGAGAGGTGGTTATTATATAGCATTAGATGCTCTATGCAGAAAATCAAATTGTCTGTCTGGAAAAAATAGGGGTCGGTGCGAGAGTCCAAGCTGCAGATTCCTGAAAAAACTAATCAAGAAGGATTAGTTAATTAAGCAGTAGACCTCTTTTATCTTTTTTTTATTATCAAACAGCGTAGACTCCTAGACCATCTTTGATTAATTTAATTCTGTATCTGTGATAGAGGCAGAAGTAAGTGAACGATGAGTCAGATTTTGGACACATGTTCAATGATCCAAGGCTGAGGATTTCACTCCTAATTAAATAAATAATCAGCTTATTAATTTATTAGCAGATAAAGCAACTAGCCTAATTAACTTTCACTAGTCTGCATTTTCTTGTTATTTCATACATTGGTTTTTTAAAGCGTTGTTTGATTATATAACCACTGAATCCTTACTCATAGAATTGGTCAACTTGATCTGATGGGTTCTGAAAGACCACAAATATCTTCCTCTTTTGTTTCTCCATGCATTTATCATGTGTTCTTGAGTTTCAGAGGCGAAGACACCCGCAAGACTTTTACTGATCGTCTTTATGCTGCTTTGATAGGTGCAGGGTGGCGCACGTTTAAGGATGACAATGAGATTGAGAGGGGGGAAAATATTAAGACAGAATTAGAGTATGCAATCGTACACTCGAGGAGTTCAATAATTATCCTCTCGGAGAACTATGCTACTTCCACTTGGTGCCTTGATGAACTTGTGAAAATCCTTGAACATAAGAGGACCAAAGGGCATGCAATTCTTCCTGTCTTCTATCATGTGGATCCCTCTGAAGTTAAAGATCAGACAAAGAGCTTTGCAGAAGCATTTAGAAGATATGAGCAGCAAATTGAAGCTGAAAGTGATGAAGGAAAGAGGGAGTGGATTGATAAGGTTCAAAAATGGAGAGCAGCTCTTGGAGAGGTTGCAGATTTGGTTGGTGTTACAGTGATCAATCAAGAGGATAGGTAAGGCTTTTTCATATCCAGTAAATTCTTCATGCTGCAAAGTAATCAAGAATAGGTTGAGATTTTGTTTTCAAATAACTTTTTGAACTCGTTCCCAGAGGCGGATCTAGGATTTTTATAAGATGGGTGCACCACTAAAGAAAGGAGAAAAAAGAAAGTAATAAGTAGGAATTGATCCTTGCTCCTTTAAGTAAATAACTTAGTATTCAACTAAGTGCACCATTTAGTCTCTTTGGAGCATGGGTGCCAACAGATAATATTAGATCAATTCCAGAAAATATGTACATAAATACCTAATTTGGGGGAAAGATCATGGGTTCACGTGCCTCATTCATAAGCCTATGAGTCCGCCCCTGCTCGTTCCTCCTTGCATATAGAGATTTGAGGAATAACTTTTTCTTGTCTTGAGGAAATTATAAAATAGTAAAAGTGAAGCTAAAGCTATTTAAGGAAAAAAGAAAAGGGAGAGAGTAAAAGCGAACAATGGGCTCTTCCTCCGCACATTACTATCCTGGGAAACATAAATCTGCTTAAGTCTCAAATATTATTTACGTGTTGGGTTGAGAACTTAAAGCTTAGGATCCTTTCAGTTAGGCATCAAAGTACTTGTATTGTACAGCTGATTTCATTAGAAAGGAAATGGAGCTAGAGATTAAAGTATCTGTATGAATATGTTGGCATCGATGGAATTTCATGCTGATCTAGCTGATTTTCTCTTTCTCTTACTTTTTCACTTTCTGTTTTTGTAACAAGCAGAGAAATGATCATATATTCTAAATACTTCTGATTTCAACAATACAAAAGCCTCTGCTACTTAGTTTGTTCAGATGTGACATTATGCCAATCAATTTGCTTCTTTTCAATTGATTAGGAAGGAGTCAAAGTTCATTGAAGAGATTCTTCAGCTCATTGAGGATAAATTGAACCGCACAATCTCTAGTGTTGCGCCTTACCTGGTTGGGATCAGTTTCAGGGTCAAAAATATTGTGTCATGGTTGCAGAATGGATCAAATGACGATAACATCATTGCAATTTGTGGGATGAGTGGAATTGGGAAGACAACTGTTGCCAAGTATATTTTTACTACGAACTTTGAAAGATTTGAAGGTAGTAGCTTTCTTGCAAATATCAGAGATATTTCTCAGCAACCTGATGGCTTAATTCGCTTACAGAAACAGCTCCTTTATGATCTTACTGGGAAAAAGAGTAAAATACAGGATATTGATGAAGGGATCATCAAGATAAGAGATGCTATATGTTTTAGGAGAGTTCTAGTCATATTGGATGACATTGATCAACAAGAAGAGCTACACGCTATAATTGGAATAAAAAATTGGTTCTGTCCAGGAAGTAAAATTATTGTCACAACAAAGAATTCAAATTTGCTCCAGGTTCATGGAATTCAAAAAGTCCATGAAGTCAAGGAAATGGGTAATGATGAATCATTGGAGCTTTTCAGTTGGCATTCCTTTGGGGAGGACCATCCAGCTGATGGGTACATGGAACTATCGACCAGGGTGGTAAAGCATTGTGGAGGGCTTCCTCTGGCACTTCAAGTTTTGGGTTCTTCTCTTCGTGGAAAGAATATTGATGTATGGAAAAGTGCACTAGACAAGTTGGAAGTGATTCCTGCAAACCAGATAATGAAAAAACTAAAATTGGGGTACGATTCGTTAAAAGATGACCATGATAAGAATTTATTCCTTGACATTGCCTGCTTCTTTACAAGAAAGGATAAAGATTATGTTATTGCAGTACTTGACGAATCTTATACTTACACAAGAGTTGGGATTCAGAATCTCGCAGATAGACTCTTGTTGACAATTGAGGGTAACAAGTTGATAATGCATCAAATGCTTCGGGACATGGGCAGAGAAATAGTCCGTCAAGAATCACCCAAGAAGCCTGGGAGACGTACCCGGTTGTGGCACTACAAGGATTCATTTAATGTATTGAGAGATGACATGGTAAGCATTTTCTTTCTCTTGTATATAATTCTTTTTCCTTCGGATACTGCTAAGCCCTTTGTAAATAATTATTTTTAGGGCTCAGAGACAATTGAAGGTCTTTCCCTTGACATGAATATGGTAAAGGAGGACCAATCCTTCATGGGAAGTTCTAGCAGTGGAAGAAAGTCTCCGTTTTTTGGTTTCTCCAGGAATCTCATCAAGTTTTCTTCAAGAACCTTAAATGTGATTGAATTGGGAACAAATATCTTTACAGTTATGAACAAGCTTAGACTGCTTCAGATCAGTTATACACATCTAAATGGTGCTTATAAAGATTTTCCCAAGAACCTGAGGTGGCTATATTGGAGAGGTTTTCCTTTAAAGAGTATGCCAAATGATTTTCCATTGGACAGCTTGGCTGTTCTTGACATGCGGAACAGCTGTTTGGAAAGACTGTGGCCTGGAAGAAGGGTATGGAAATTGTTTATGTTGTTAGGTTCCTACTCTTTTAATGAAGTGTTACTCATCCCTTTCTTTTGAACTTCGTCAATATAGGTGCTTCAGCTGCTAAAAATTCTCAACCTCAGCCATTCTCATTCTCTGTCTAGAACTCCTGATTTCTCAGAACTTCCGATGCTGGAGAGGCTTGTTCTCAAAGAGTGCGTCAATCTAGTTGAGGTTCATGAATCCATTGGAACCTTAGAGGCTCGGCTTATTTTCTTAAATCTCAAAAACTGTAAAAGACTTCAGAAACTACCCAGACAGATTTGCAAGTTAAAAGTTCTTAAAACGCTCATTATATCTGGTTGCTCAAATCTTCTAGAGTTGCCAAGAGATCTTTGGAGGATGCAGTCCTTGATAGTATTTCTAGCCGATCAAATCCCAATGAGTCAATTACCCTCCACGAATAAACAGAATTCAAAATGGCATGCATTCATCCAGTCTTGGGTTTCTAAGCCAAGAAAAGTTCCAAAACTTTCCTCGGTTTCTTTGCCAAAATCTTTGGTTAACCTAAGTCTAGCTGGGTGCAATCTATCTGAAGCTGCTTTTCCTAAGGACTTCAGTAATTTACTGATGTTGCAGGACCTAGATCTTAGTAAAAATCCCATCACTTCCCTTCCAGATTGCATCAGAACTCTTTCCAGGCTCAACATACTTGTATTAGATGATTGTAGAATGCTTAAGGCTCTCATAGACCTACCACGTATCAACAATTTGAGGGTGGGATACTGCACTTCCCTAGAAAAAGTAACATATCTATCAGTAGGATGCCGTGCAAAAACTCACCATTTAAATGGCTGTAAAGAACTCAATGATATGGAGGGAAGCTTCAAGTTGGAAGCCATGGGAGAAATCGAGAAAACAATGAAGTCATTGGAATTAAGCATGTGGGATTCTGTGGGAAGCTTTGAAGTGAAATTGTATAATAATTCAACTAATACAGAAAGTAGAGGACCAGCAAAGGTACTGTCTCCTCTTTCCCCCC